TTGTCTGGTCATGATGTTACAGACCGCCGTCATATAGCTGAAATATTGCTGAGTGCGGTGTTAAACAAAAAACAAACAAACAAACAAAACATCCATGAGAAAGGATGATGTTTACCGTCTGATAACTCACATTATTAGACGAAGCGACGGTAAAATCTCAAAACGTCACAGCATTCCGTCTTGGTTGTAAACAAATCAATATGTCTAACATTTGGAGTGATTTTCACTTTGTCATGCACTTACATAAAGCGGTGTTAGTTCACTGATTGAGAAATCCATTTAACATGCTTTACTATTACGTATTCTAAACTTCTTCCTTTGATATCCGATTGTAATTAACTGCTTGTGTAGCATGAACAGTATTTCATTTCTGAGCTAATCGTTAAGATAGATGTGGATTAGAATACCGACGAGTATCTTCTGTATCCTCCACTTTCAAAAACATATGATTGAAGTGTACACACACACACACACACACACACACACACACACACACACACACACACACACACATCTGTGTAGCGTGCTGCACGTTACCTGTCAAGGACGGCACGGCATCGCCCAAGCTGTTAATCTCAGTTTGCCGTATGCACATTTGTTACTAATTAAGACGTAATATTACGACATGCGGAAATTAAAATTGTATATATAATAACTCATTTCCTCTTACCATACATTGTGCATATTACATAATGTATAGGCGATTAGTAATCAATCGTTCCTTTGTCTATCATACTCCCTTGGCATCAGCGACAGATAGATTTATATCAGGCCCATATCTGCCATTTACACCCAAACCACTCTTGTGGATGCACTTTCTTCCCACGAGGGTCTGCTTATGCATATTGCTGGATATTACTGTCTCATTTGCAATTGACAAGTAATGTACAACCCTGTGGGAGTTACGGCTGTCTTATGTTAGATGTATGGGATTAATTCCGGCGATCTGTTCGTCGTGTACATTTCCTTTCTCCGCAGTGTACTATTCCAATACTACTGACAGACTCCAAGGCGGCGAATGTGCCTTGGGTGTTAGTTGACGCTGTTAATATTCCCATTATATATTGAGAATTATCAGTTTCTTTCATGTTGATTGGCATTGTTGGCTTACGTATCTGTAAATACCGGATTCATTCCTAGAACATTAACACTTCCGGTACATAACAGGTGTTAGATGCGTGATTGACAGGGACGGGTATGAAAGTAACATCACGTGATTCGTTATGGTGTTTAATTTGGATATGCGCGGCGGGGGCAAAGCTTCAGAAAGAGCATTTTATCACCATCGTGTGTACACTGTGGATCAGGGCTATAAGTAACGGAGACACTTTTAAATCATGTTCAGCACCTGAAACTCATCAACACCCGTTCCCCTGCATTGGGTATTGTGGTTTATTGATAACCATTTCTACATATGATGTGGACATGTAGCTTGGTTACTGAATATTATTAAACAGTTCGTTTGATATTTAGCAATTCTAATTATTGTCAAGTGTCACAAATAAGACAAGTGTTTTCTTTGTCATTGCTGTGTGCTACGTTGCTCGTCTTTTCGAAGTAGCTGATGCGCTAGCCTGCTGTAATTAGTTGATGCCCTATGATGCCCTTGCCTGCTGTAATTAGCTGATGCCCTATGATGCCCTTGCCTGCTGTAAGTAGCTGATGCCCTATGATGCCCTTGCCTGCTGTAAGTAGCTGATGCCCTATGATGCCCTTGCCCGCTGTAATTAGCTGATGCCCTATGATGCCCTTGCCTGCTGTAATTAGCTGATGCCCTATGATGCCCTAGCCTGCTGTAAGTAGCTGATGCCCTATGATGCCCTTGCCTGCTGTAAGTAGCTGATGCCCTATGATGACCTTGCCTGCTGTAAGTAGCTGATGCCCTATGATGCCCTCGCCTGTTGTAAGTAGCTGATGCCCTATGATGTCCTTGCCTGCTGTAAGTAGCTGATGCCCTATGATGCCCTTGCCTGCTGTAAGCAGCTGATGCCCTATGATGCCCTAGCCTGCAGTAAGTAGCTGATGCCCTATGATGCCCTTGCCTGCTGTAAGCAGCTGATGCCCTATGATGCCCTTGCCTGCTGTAAGCAGCTGATGCCCTATGATGCCCTAGCCTGCAGTAAGTAGCTGATGCCCTATGATGCCCTTGCCTGCTGTAAGCAGCTGATGCCCTATGATGCCCTAGCCTGCAGTAAGTAGCTGATGCCCTTGTCTGCTCTGAGTAGCTGATGTCCTGTGATACCCTAGCCTGTTCCCCTGCAAGGTAGTTCTAAGTTGTTCCTGTGCAAGGTAGTTCTATATTGCTGCAGTGCAAGGTTGTTCTAAATTGCTGCTATGCAAGGTAGTTCTATATTGCTGCAGTGCAAGGTTGTTTTAAATTGCTGCTATGCAAGGTAGTTCTAAATTGCTGCTGTGCAAGGTAGTTCTAAGTTGCTGCTGTGCAAGGTTGTTCTCAGTTGCTGCTGTGCAAGGTTATTCTAAATTGCTGCTGTGCAAGGTAGTTCTAAATTGATTAACTGCAAGGTAGTTCTAAATTGCTGCTGAGAAAGGGAGTTCTAAATTGCTGATGTGCAAGGTAGTTCTAAATTGCTGCTGTGCGGGTAGTTCTAAATTGCTGTTGTGCAAGGTAGTTCTAAATTGCTGCTGTGCAAGGTAGTTCTAAATTGTTGATGTGCAAGGTAATTCTCAATTGCTGATGTGCAGGTAGTTCTAAACTGCTGTTGTGCAAGGTAGTTCTAAATTGCTGTTGTGCAAGGTAGTTCTAAATTGCTGTTGTGCAAGGTAGTTCTAAATTGCTGCTGTGCAAGGCTTCCTTTGTGTTCATCTGCTCTTAACTGTTGTGAACCATACACACGTTTTTAACTTCTAAAATTGAACTCTAAAGCGATTAACAATAACTGCCCATAAATATCATCTTCGAAATACTGTCGGAGCAGTGGCAGAGTATTAAGAAAAATGGACCTAATGACCCCACTCAATCCTGTACAATTACATTCAGTCACCTGACTCATGTTTTGATAGATTAATATGACAATCAATGGTTACACACGGGTTCTTAGCCAATAGAGAGTGATCCGACATTCAGCCCATCCCAACTTCACTCCCATGGGTCCTGTCATTTCTTCACTGACTCACCAAACGCTCCCACTCATCTTTACGTTTTGCTTATTAACAACAAAGCGTAGGACAATGTATAGCCTTTAAGTGATTTAACCAGCAGACTTGCATCCCCTAGTTGCATCATCCGCTGGTCGTAGGTTCAGATCCAAAATTCGCCACGCTTTTGATACCTCGTTCGGCAGCAGGTTTCACCAAACTTGAAAACGTCTTTTCATTCGCATCACGTTGGGATACCAAGGCTTGAACAAAATATCGCTTCACAGGGTCTGATTATTCATTTATCCAATCCGTTTTGTTTTTTCAATATATTGACATACTATCATCAGTTATTGGTTTCTCTGGGTTAACGATTACTTTTGTGTTCTAACCATATTATATACATTATATAGGAAAATACACTGTTGTATATTTTCAAGTTTTTTTCAACAAACGGATGGTCAAGAAATGTAATAAATGTATTACTTGCCTCATAATTGAATGTTCCCAAATGGTTGCGGACAAAGGTTATTGTGCTGTCGAAAATTAAGGTTAATAGTGTCTACAATGTTGATTAACATTAAGCGTCTTCACTGTGCAGTTTTATAGAATATATTAGCCTTCGGTTTCACATCAAATACTATTTATTTCCTAATTGCATTAGTTATATATCAAGCACCGTCTCTGACAAGCTTCAAATATTATCTTATCATCAACTGTTCCTTTAAATCATTCCAGATCCACTCATTTAGCTTCAGAACGTCGCCCCGGTCATTGTAAACTGAATGCGTATTGTCAATACTGGGAGATTAATTGCCAAAACACTGGTACTTATAACTAGGGATTCGTCACGTCCCAGCGTAGTTACACAAAGATTAGAGTTTTCATGTATTGATTTCAATAAAACAGTGTACACAGCTTCTCCAGAGACGCTAATGTAATGTTTATTGGGGCGTATCGATAAATGATAAGTACCAGGAAAGACAATTGGAAAAAGAAAGATGTATTGATTGATATGAAAACTCAGCTCTGTGTTTTCTGCCAATACAGAGCATTAAGAAGATGGATTTTCTGCATTAATAGGAATTAATGAATACATTCGAAAACATTTCCATGCTGGAAACAACCATTAGACAAAACGTAAAAACATAACTTATACGACGTATGATGTGTATATATATTCTACACATTGTTATCAAAGACATGTATGTATGTTGATCACTCTGATTGTACTGTTAGCGTTAGAAAAGATGTCTGCCGTCCGTTTCTAATTCAAGTTAGGCGCCATCTGTTGAGTAATATCAGTTATCACGCTAAATAATATTTGTCAATAATAACGGCATGGTTCGAAAGACGTTTACGCGACGATGACATCTATAAACCACTATGATCACTCTGAAATCAAACAAATGATAATAAGTTGTCAGTAATCAGCCTCGATAAACCTAGCGGCAAGCAGGAGAACTAGGCATGTAAATACAAGTTTGATAAATTATACCCACAGTTCAATCAACAGTCTCCAATCCCGTGGGACGTATACCATCACTGGGACCGACTACTCCAACCGTCAAATCGATCTAATTATCTGTTTGTTAAGAACGCTATAACGAATGCTGTTTGATTGAGTCCATCTCTCGCAAGACCATATTGCTGTTATTACAAACCCCCACCTTCTGGCGAATGTTCCTCGGTACCGTTGTAGTCACACCTTCCAAGCGCCTTGCAGTGGACTACCACGATTCGATCACATGCGCCAGAGTGTTTGGCCTTCGCTACCACAATTCCTTTACCAGCCGGCGGAACTGGAACTCTTGGTAGGAAGACATAGAGAGGCTTGTTATGGAGGTTTGTGCGGTCAAAATGGACGCTGAGCCGGATTCTTAACGATGTATATGTAGGTATTAGTGTATTGTATGTGTCTGTTGTTTTAGTGTGGCTACCGAATTTCTGAAAACGCCAACAGTGTGACGTGTTCGTTGCAAAATCAGTATGACTGTTGGTATTGATCGAACGAATGGACTGCTAGAGGGAGCGAGTGAATGATTCGACTGAGACCGACTGATCCACTTGGTCTTATGTCGCTCCATCTTTAACAAGCTTCTTCTGGGCTCATTTGCTAAAGATTTCCATACGCCCTAAGCCATGTATACAAGATGGTTGTGTCATCGGAGAAGAGTGAAGGTCTCATAGGAAGGAAGTTGTGATATCTTGTTTTCTTGTACTTGAACTTTTCACTTTACGACATGTGTGTGTGCAGATACTGCAATCTAGTTTGAGTCATCTATTTTTTATTAAGCTTAACCTACCCCCTGCCTAACATTTGACTCCTTGACTGGGAAATAATCGAAAATTGGCAAGTAGGTCCAGGTAATTTCGAGCTATTGATCTCTGCTGCCATACTCCACACCTGTCAGAGGACAGCCCAGACTGCTTGTCTGGTAGGAGCCGACGCGTCGGGTTGAAGTCCCTCGCCGTGGATTTCTATTTCGATGATGCGCAAAGGTGACAATATGTATCGAGGCATTAAACTTTCAATGGACAAGGCAATTTGTGGGGGCCCATCTCCCAACGATCAGAGCCCCGGGCCATGAATTCTTGGAAGATATTCAGCCAGCGCTTTTGTCTCGAAGCCATGGAGCTATTGACTGATGTGGTGTTTTAACGGGAGTGTTTAATAGAACGGGGCCATGATTTGGATAGGAGCTGTTCCTATAGTCGACTGACAGTTTGTGATGCTGTGGACATTTGGAAGTGTAAAGTGTTGTGTTGTGATGGTTTACTGTTCAGTAGGTGATTTTCTACTTTTCAAAATCCCGTAGCTTGAGTCAGTTCTCGTCCGGTTTTGCTTGAGGTATTTTGCTGTCAATTTGGGGAAACCGATAACGCTGATGACTGCCTCCAAACTCTCTAGCAGCGCTACATTTCATCATTCCTCGTTCATCTCACGCCAGACCCAGACGCTAAGCGTAAAGGCTCTTACACTTATCTTAGGCCTGAATTAAACTACGAGAGGGATTGAGAAGTGGTGCGTTTCCAATTGTCAGCGTCGTTTCTTCAACATTTGTACTTGTAGTGTTTGAAGTGAGGCTTTGAAGGACGAACGTCGCCAAGCTTGTTCACATCAGCTACATATGGTGCGTTGGTATCCGGGCCCAGTCATTGCCATGGACACAAAACCCTTCGCTGTTTTGTTTTAGGATCAAAGTGTTATAGCGGAGTTCTATAAAATCGATATTAAGGTGTGACAAACTCCCCGATATATGAAGCGAAATGGTGGCTTTCACGGGTATGGCATGGATTGCATTGTTTAAAGGAAGTGTGAAGGCTAGAATTATCCTGGACCAACTGGGGTTCCTATTGTCCTCTCATTGACTATTTTGGAGGTTTGGCTGAAACACTCATTCATATCCAAATGATGTAAGCTGTGCTTGGTTTTTCTTTCACAGTGTTTAGATTTAACATATTTTTCTCATTGGTATTGGTGTCCTGCAAATTAAGCCAAAGTGGAGGCAATAATTAACGGCGGCATAGTCCTGCAGGAGCTCAACTCTAATTCGGAACTCTCCTTCTATAAAGACGGAAAAATAGCTGTCCCGGAGATGAATCACAGCCGCCATTCTCACCATGCTCGAAAAGCAAATCACACGAGATCTCACGCAAACAGCAAGCATGTGCATGCGAACCACCGTCACTTCCATCATAACAAATTTACCGGTGGTGGTCCATCCAGCAACTTTGTGGAGTTGGAACTTACTGGCACGGCGCTGTCAGCACAAGGGTAGGAAGCACGGGAGATTATCTACGAACCTAATTATGGTTTTGTTCATATGTTGCGTGACAATATCAAAATGTCTGATTTCGAAAAAAACCTTCATTTGTATTGATGCATGTCCCTGGTTTATTTTTTGTAGGGATGCATTCCTTAAGTCTTTGTTTGAATTAAGCGTGTTGTATGCAGTTAATTTTATCACAATTCTTCCTGGCCAGATTTACTCTTTTCACGAACAACATGGTGTCATCGGGGATTTTTAGTGATCCAATCCGTAACATTGTTTTGCCTTTTACGCCAAATGGCATAAGTTTCGGCGGATGATCAGGACTTATTATTCTCAGTCGTTGACGTTTTATATTTAAAAAACTCAAGTTTCCCGTATACCAAACACTCAAAGTTTGCAAGACACCAAAGAGTATGAAAATATACTTATTCTAATATAATTGTGAATAGCTACCAGTTACTGTAGCGTGGCAGATGTAGTTATGTGTTGAAAACATGTGTGTGTTCAGCAGTAATACATTTGCCTCAAACATGACAAAGGGGTGATAACTCACTCTATACAATTTATATTCATCCATATATAGAACATAAACACGACATTGGTACAGTGAAGCCCAGTGTCCACCAATATATGGTTGGAATATTGCTAATACGGGTGTGCAACCGTACTCAATCATGTTCTGTCGACCAAATTCTTGTCCTTATCTAATGACATTTGAATAATGTATGCAAGTACAATGTCCAGACACTATGCCATAGACACTTGTTGAAAAAGTGTGTCTTGTAAAGAAGGTTCAGCTGAAACAGTACGTCTTCGTGCTAAAGGCTCGTATGTTTCCGAGCGACATACCGAATGCATTCTTACGTCGTCTTGCAGATTCTGATATCAATACTGTAATTTGCTTTCTAGATCAATACTTTTATCTATCATTTTCTGATTACTTGTTATTTTAACGAAAGGCAACGCCCACAACTCACAATGACTTGAAGCAGAAAGTCAATGCACAACGCTTTTTTATATGTTCTTCTTGCATAAGCATACTTTTCAATTGTTGTTCACACTGAAGATCCGGGTTCTATTCCCAATGAAATGAGCGCTTTTGGTCTTACAGGTTTTGGTTATAGTTTGGTATGTTGTGTGTATGAATAATAAGCATACAATATATACACACTAATGGCTTCGTAAATAGATCTAATAAAAGTTCAGTAATAATTAATATACCTTTATCTTTAAGTGCGTATGCCTCGATAACCCTAAATAAGAGTAATATGAGAATAATAATGTTTCAGCATTAAGTCAATACTTCAGCCAATACTAATCTCAGCATTTCATGTTTGTTGGCTAACGCTGGAAGTTTTTCACAAGCAATAGCTTAATCATATCACAAACAAGTATACGCTTTTCCCTGCAGGTTAAATATTGTTGCTATACGTTGAAGTTGAATGATGAAAAATTCATAATTAATTATATGGTAATTTCATTACTTTTAACGCGTTAGTAATAGAACTGACTGTGATTACAGCGTTGACCAAAGAGCGCAATAGATTTTAGAAATACGATTTCCTCTTGATTCATTTCAATCAGAGAATCTTGTGTCGATCCTGGTGTCTTTACTTTGGAACATCCAATATGTCGGAACCAAGGTAATATTTTGACCATGGTCTCCGTATATGGAATGGAACATTAATTGCGAAGTTGCAACATCATCGATGTTTCATATCCCATTGTCTGCGATATCTGTTATCAGAAGAATATCTGCCTACGTATAAATGGTTAACTAAAAGCTTCTGTGTGACCTTATGTGGGTTGGTATTAATCGGGCATACATGTAAATTGTGTTGACTTTCCCAACATATTCGATTAAGTCCCATCTGATATTTACTCAAACTAACCAGTGTGGCGTTAGTCTATTGTAGAGGCACGATTTGACAAAACTGCATTTATATCATAGGTAGTGTAGCATCAACAGATGACACAGGATAAAAGCCAAACCACTGGGCAGTTAATATGAAATAGGTTGTAGTGAATAGCATGTTCAGAAATGTATATGCTATATATGATGAGAATTTAGATATTGCTTGATACAAAGGAGAGCTGTGGCAGCAAATGTATGGGTTTCTTCCTGCTGGAAAGATCTGCTGGTGGTGTCCACATTGCCATTGTTTTAATCAAATTCCCACACGCGATATGTTAGTACTGAATGGGTGAAATACGACTCTGTTGGTGAAATAAATAACTAATGATCTTTGATGCTACTATTGACGTAAAATAGCACAAGTGCGCAGAACAGTTGGAGCGACATAAAGGTTTCTTAAGTGTGCTTTATACAGGATGGAATAGTGTTATATGTGAAAGGTTGACTTTGTTCTCTGAATGGTAATGGAATGAACAGTTCTATGTATAAATACTCAGGGAGTGTCATTTAGTTTTAAATATTCTCAATGTCTATGTAAGTTTTATCTTTGGTCTTTGGTTGTAATGAAATATGTTGACCTTCAATCGACTTGTCTGGTTTAGGCATCTACTTGCATTCCAATTTAGGACGGCAAATCATTCTTTCGTTTTGTGGCCAATTAATGCAACTTCAGATTTCTGCTGAATGTAAACTATGACATACGGCATCAGACGCAAGGACAGAAATAAAGTATTCCAAAGTCATCCACAAGTTTGCTTCAAATCGCCTAATCTAACATTTTAATGCAATTTCTCTTTACTATTTACCTTTTCTTCAAAATCTGTCTGTGAATACAAATACTGAATCAAGAGAATAAATTACCAGATCCTCGCCATGGGCATGTAATACAAAATACACGGCCCTTATAGAGAAAACGAGTCATCACATTTGCACCCTGCTGTAGAGTTGCGTAACGGTTGGTATGCCCACCATTGGTTTTCGTGTCATGGCATGCCAAAAACTAATGAAGGCTCGGACTATACTAAGGAAATCAGAGTCACTTCATGCAAGCCATCGATTTCTCCTGTCTCTTCAACAAATGCCACATCAGGCCGTCCTTGCAACGCTAATTACTGACAGTGGTTACATCACTAAGGCCCAACGCACTGCAGCACGTATGGCAAGGGTCATTATTTAAATTCCAGCTACGGCTTAGGTCTTATTCGGTTGAATAATCATGTCCAAAAATTAAACCTCTTCATCAATGTAGCTGTAAATGAGAGTTGCTATTTCCATCATACTACAGCATTCTATGACATTTGCAGTCGTTCGACTTTGCTTCGTGAGTTTTCCGGCAGCGCAAAACATCTATTTTAAATTCTACTTGATCTAATTGAAGCATTAATTCCATTTGAAGAAGATGATGAGATTTTGAAGATGTAGATGATCTGTATTGATATTCCTCTTTTCTAGTTGGTTTAAAGATTGCTGAAATTAAATGAAAATATGTAGGTCATATGCTTTAATTAAAAGGTCATATTTGTCAAGATGGCGTTGACATTGGGTCCATGAAAAGCACACAGAAGCCTGCTTTTATCGGTTATGGCTCTTACTATGTTATTGTTATGCTCAATTATCAAACCATTTGGAAAAATACTAAGTTTGAAACGTGCGCATATTCATCTTAAACCCATTCTGAAATACATCCGATTGTCTACAAGACCAACATGTGCAAGGTTATATCCTGAGAGGTTATCTTTCCTCGAGTTTAGATGAAATACTTGAAGCTATTCTTGAAATACGAAAGTTCGTACTTTGTGGTTGTATTCGACGCAACCAAGGGATGTTGAAGGTCACTTTGCAACTTTATGACGTAAATGGAAACCTTTCGAAAGTTTAAATCATCATTAATGAAAAATAATAGTAATATTAATTCGTCTATTCTACTAATACAGTACAAACGCCCGATAAGAAAATTGAGAGATAAAAATAATTTCCATTGCATCTGAAACCGAGTCTAACCAACCAACGAGCACACTCACAAAGACAGGTTAAATGTGCTCGCTTCTTTATGTTTGTCTGGTGCATGACTAGGTTTACAGAGACTGAACCAAATGTCCTGTTTGAAATGTCAATGATTAGGCATATAAGGGCTACTTGTGACTGCTGTTGCTTCGCCCGTGTACATATCTAATGATTGATGTACATTGCGCTATGCACAACGTGATGACACGATCTGCAGTACGGGTAGTATAGATTATTGAGAGCAGTGGATTTCACATGTTCTTCGTAAATGTCACATGTTCCCGTGTCCGAGACAAATAAATCATTGTCTTTGCTTCACCGCAAAGTAAGAAACCGTATTGTGCTTCCACAATTTGCTTTTGTTTCTGGTGAACTACATATCGACTCGCAGTAAATTGTTTCTATGCTTTACATATCTGTTTTGATGTCATAATAGCAAGTTCCTTTCATCATTGCTCTTTTTGTTTTTATCATTTAGAAGTTGTTTTTGTCAGCCACCTCGTCGCTTCTTTGTTCATTTACTAACGGAAACAACTGAAAATACTCTCCACTGTTGATTCTTTCCTGTAGAATACTTCATCATAACAAATCTGTACTCTTTTTCGCAAACTTTCTTCATCAGGAGACACAAAAACGTTGAGGCCGAAGGTTGAATTTCTTATTATTACAGATCAATACCTGCTTTGAAATTACTTACGAGTATTTCAGGTCTTTTTCTTTGTCCCCTAATTTTAGTAGATATTTCCCAAGGTTGTGCGATTGGTTAGAACAGTAATCGTTAAAGTTTGATCGATCTCACCAGAGCCGATCGATGCAAACATGTATGCCAAATGAGATCCGTTGATAATTTGAACGCAGTTGTTACGAAAACACTTTTTGAAATTTCCCGTTAGGTCGTTCAGTTCCTGAACACAGTATCACGGTCAACCTTAAAGAATTAGGAAAGGTTTATGATTTATGATTCAATGAATTATTGCTGTACTATCAAAGGAAAATGCCTATGTCAAAATTAACTGGGGAAATCGATTAATATTTTCATTTTCACTGAAAGGAAGCAATAATGTTTGTGATATTTACAAACCAAAATCTTATTCGAAAACCATAAGCGCTAATCCGGTCTTATTTTCATAGTACTGTAAAGACAAACACTGTAATAGTTTAGTGGTGGATTTAGTTCATATGTATGGCGTCTCAAATAATATTCAATTATAACAAGTCATTGTAAAACATTGTGTTTGTTTCTTTCCCTATAAAGTGCTATTTGTTTAGCAAAGTGTGTTTACATGACAGAATATATTACATTACTGCAATGTAGGGCGCTCATAAAAACTTTCACCACCTTCAACATGTTTGGATACAAGTAAATATATATGTACCTTTGCATAGCTCGACTGAATATTTGATATATGCTCTACAGAAGATTGCGTCTTGAATTTGGTATGTTGTGTGTATTTCAATTCATTTCAAATTTGTCTATCAAGCAGCTTTACTTCAATAATCCCTGTTTCAGCAAAGTTGCTTTTTGGTGAGGTTTGCTTTTTACTAAGGACAATCGGTATAATTTTTTAATACAAGTTTGATACGCGAAGCATGGACAAATCTACTTCTTTTACTAGTGTACTTTCCTCATAGTATATTCTCTACATTTGAGTTATAAAAACACACAGTCATTAAGAACCTACGCCCCCAATCACCGACATCCCCGTCTCGACCCCTCGAAAGATGGACACTTAAAAAAGAGGAACCCTGGCCCATCCCTTTTAAATCCTTGACCCTCCCCTGTGGAACACCCGAAGCGCTAGTTAATGTTCAGCAGTACTGTGTAAGAGGATCATGCTGTAAAGCAATTGCATATGACAAAATCAACGTAAAAAGACGATATTTTGTATATTATGGGCAGATGTATGTAATTTATCATCTTCAGCAGTAAGAAAAAAACATGGAAATATACATTTCTCATTTGGATTACGTGCCAACTGTTATGGGTCAATTTTTGGCTTTCCACTAAGGTGTTACCTTGGCAGAGGGTTCGGCACGCTGCCGATGTGCAGGGCTCGTGTTTGACAAAATCCAATAATTAAGTTCACACCTTAGTTTTAATGTGTGATAAAAGAGTAGGCATCGTTCATCCTCCAAATAGAATTTGACAAGTTGGATCGAAAACGAACACTTTGAAATCCAAGTTAATCAACTCTCCGGCTTTCGATCCTGAAGAGAAGAATAACAAAATATTGGCTGATACTACTTTCCTTCAACTTACGACCTCGCTTCTGAATTTATAATTCGAAACCAACTCTAGCAAGCAAATGCACAAAACTAAGTTACTTTCCGTAAGACGTATTCATTTGAATCATTTTCTCTCTCTCTCCTTCTTGCTTGGACATTTAGATTCTCTGATGATCATGAAATATCAGCCCTAGATTTGCCTGGGCATCAGGAGTAGTTGCAAGGAGAACATGTTCGGTTGGGGGTTCGTATTTTCATCCTCCCGCACGAGACTTACGATCACGTTCTCGGCCTTAATGCACATTTCCATCATTTTTACGCTTCGCCTCGTCACAATCACTTGCTCTTTAGCTCTTCTGCAAAGCATGTTTATGTTTCTTATAATATTCAAACGTCTAATAATACCTGCTTCTAGCTTCTTTAACCTTCTAAATTCGGTGTGCATGTTGTTTCTTCTTTTCATATCTATCTATCTATCTCTATATATATATCTATATATTAATATTATTACCTGTGCCCTGGTTTCTGTATTACTTGTGCAGTGATATATAGCAGGATATGTCCCACTCAAAGGTGACACAGATGGCTCAGATGACAAGATCAGTATAGATAGATCAATGCTTACTTTGTCCTGTACTTGATAAGTGATAATTCATTGCAACACCCACCCACACCCACACCCACACCCACACACACACACACACTCATACACTCATATATATATATATATATATATATATATATATATATATATATATATATATATTTATATATATTTATATTTTTATATATATATATATATATATATATATATATATATATATATATATATATATATATATTAGTATAGTCACACGTGAATGATTAGATGGATCTATTTATATTCTATATGTGTGAATGAGAAATTATTTCTGGGTATCTGTGACGTGTGTTTCTTCTTATTGTTGTATGAATCATAGCTTTTTACTAACGTGTTGCTAGATCATGTGACCAGTCAAATGTTTGTAATGTGAATTTCTATGTCGTCTTTCTATTTCAGACCGAAGACCTGAGAACATATTATATTTTCTCATATGAACATTTTAGCTTTGAGTAAAGCGTGTGTGACGAGAAACTACGTCCAATAATACCGAGCAAACTACGACCGATAAAACTCCGACAACATTTACCGTTACATTAGGAGAACGTCTTTGTCAATGTCATCTTCTTGCCTAGTTACGATGTATAAGCTAGTTTCTTTTTCCTGCCCACTTACCAACGCTGTGCCTTCCGTTTGTTCTATTCAGACAAGGGACGGGTTTTATCATGTGACTTGGTGACCTACAACTACATCCGATTTACAAACATGTACAAATGGTAACGTCTAGTAGATTCAAACTACTAATCAATAGATCTGAAAGGATATCGAGTTTGGCGGTTGCGAAATGTTTGTCCTTGGACGTCAGGGCAAATATTTACTTCAGAATTATTTTCTCATCTCCAGGCTTACAATTTGAAGTGTTTTCTTCCTCAATAGCAAATTTTCGCTTCAAAACAATAGACAAATCTGTACAAGTGAAGAAAAGTGATATAGATTTATGGTATGCACGCCCACTTCTTGATGATACAGTATGAAAGGGACGTGCCTTATTCAATGTGGATTTTGAAAACCAATGTATTTCTACAGCGTTTTAAATTTTATTTTTAAATCGTTTATTGTGTGTTTTAAAAAGTTTGAATTTTCAACGTGATGGTGGTCACTTCCGGTACTAAGCCTCGTTTTGGTATCGTTTCAGGCTTGACAGCGTTCTGGGAAGCTTTGCGACCTATGCTCGTTTGAAGGGTAGGTACGATGACGACTGGATCGACCGCCTCAACCACCTGTACACGACCATCATCCTCGTCATCTTCACCATTGTCGTCAGTACTAAACAGTATGTGGGGGAACCTATACATTGTTGGTGTCCAGCCCAGTTTGAGGACAGCCAAGTCGAATACACCAACAACGTATGCTGGATCTCCAATACATACTACGTACCCTTCGAGCAATCGGTCCCCCGCCATGGTCAGATGAAGAAAGAGAAGGAAATAGGCTACTATCAGTGGGTTCCTATGATTCTTCTCTTTCAAGCCCTCCTTTTCAAAGTCCCTTGTATCTTATGGAGAATCCTAACTGCCTCTGCTGGTGTTAATCTTGACAAGATTGTCACTCTGGCGGCAGATACTGCTTATATATCACCCGACGACAGGGAAAGAACTATAAAACACATCGTCCGGTATATGGATCGATGGCTTGAAAATGCCAGGGAATACAGGTCTGGTTGCTTCATTCGGATTCGTCAACAAATCGCCAAGTACTGCTGTCTTGTTTGGGGCAAACGCTATGGTAACTACTTAGTGACCCTCTACATGTTCATCAAGCTGTTATACCTGGTAAATTCTGTCGGCCAGTTGTTTATACTTAATGAATTCCTGGGAACGAACTTTAATGTGTATGGTTTTGAAGTTATGGACCATTTGGCACGTGGCGAAGATTGGGGGGAATCCCCGCGATTTCCCAGAGTGACACACTGTGATTTTGACATTCGACAGATTCAGAATGTACACTCTTATACAGTGCAGTGTGTGCTGCCTATTAATTTATTTAATGAAAAGATTTTTATATTCGTTTGGTTCTGGTTAGTTTTTGTGTCCGCCCTAAGTGCCGGTAACTTCTTTATATGGGTTTACACTATGATTTTCCGCCAGCATCGTTTAAGGTATTTGAAAAAGTTTCTTCGCGTGAACGACTGCTACAAATCAGAGTTGGACAAAAAGATGGCGGTGAAATTCGGGGAGCAGTATTTGAGACAGGACGGGATATTTGTGTTGCGTCTGGTTGGCAAAAATGCGAATGACGTTCTTGTGTCAGAGCTGATCCTTCAGCTGTGGAACCATTACAGGAATAAACCTTTGTTTAGGCACGCCAACCAGATCAGTGATGATAATAGTAATGTTTGACTAGCCGTGCAGAAAATGCGGACAGTTCAAGTGGTACTTCGCATGTTGAAGATAAAGTACGGGTCACTGAGGGCCAACGAGGAGGAGACGGAGCCATGCACCCATGACAATATTGAGTTAGTTCAGCTCGAGCCCCTCCAGAGATCAAATGGTTTCAGTATCGAGGCTGGCGGGTCTGAATCGGAAACGGAAACAGAATCTGAGAGTGATCAGGATATGGAAGAGGCTCTCAAGGTTACAAAGGTATAGCCCAAATCCAAATTTGGGACTGTTTATTAGACGTGAATGATCCTTCGAGGACCCGATTGTATAGGTCTTAATCTAAGCCAAAATTTACTCATTATTCACCGTTTGAATTAACAAGTGGCACCGTCCAAATTACTGAACACATCCAACGGCGAGGCTAGGTTCGTGTGCCAGCTGACTGACAGAGCTTCCTGATTTTGGTGCTCGTGGAAAGTGATCACGTGACGGAGAAACTGTCATAACTGATGACGAATTATGAAATATCAGACCAAATATGAGCACATAACCACGTGACTAGAAACATTAAATCACCGAAGCCTCTTTTTTCAAAATTCGAATTTTGCCAAATATTGCCTCATGCGCTCTTATCACTTATATATTTGCCAGTCCTCATTGGATTTCACGATCAAAGGATACATCATTCATGCACTTGTGTCATTCCAAGCAAAAACAGAATAAAAAAATATTTCTTTTTTTTAGTAAAATTTCACCAATGGGTGTAAATAAGGAATATACTATTCTTAGCTTAGAGTACGGGAAGATAGAGTTGGACGTCAGTGATACAAGTATGGCGTTAAACCGGATGCGACGTCATTGGCATCATACATGCATGCGTTCTACAGACCCTCCTAGCAATAAGGAAGATGCAAATGGTGGTCCTAGACCCGTCGTATATCATTACGTTATGACACCAATATTGTGATCATCCTAAAGATAGCCAGGTCGCATCCTAGTGATGTTTTTTTCACGTATGGAGGTAATCATACAAACATTACATTTATCACCATCTATGGTTACCTCATTTCCATTGTCACAGGAAGACCAAGTTTGGATTTCTATTGGAACTATATGTATTGTATTAAGTACTGTTTCCGATTGTAGTGTATAACATATATGGTTTTTTGCAAGTCATTAACGACAGTGTAAATCATTTTGCTTAAATGATAGTACGCTTCAGTTTGCCTTAAAAAATAGACAATAATGCTTAGGTTGGGGGATTTGATTTATCTATAAAACTATCCATATTAATTCATCGTTATATCACCTTAGTAACTAGAATCTAGTATGTGTAGATCTGAGTAAGACTTTTGTTTGATAATTCAAGGTATTACCATGTTAACCTTGGCCAGTGAGATTCCTGTAGATACTTAGATGTCATGGAAACCACGGGTGCTCAAATAACTATTTATTGTTATATTTTGTAACCCTTTCATTGAAGTCGACGGCTTTCGAACGGTTCGGCTGTTTCCGTTTCACGACGCGTAACATACCGGAAAAAGACGAACTATTTTGAAAACTAGTTGGCTGTTAGGGACTTCCACAAGCACCAATGTCTGTCATGGACGTTTCGAAGTTTATAGTCATCCAAACTCGGTCCTTTCTCTGCATTAACTTATGTAAACTTATGAAGTTATATTTATTGTTTAATGCAAATGTAAAATATCTGAAGCCAAAATTGTATTACTGTACAAAGAAAGGGATACCCCCGCACCTGAATGTGTGTTAGCGAGTGTGATATTTATGTGAGACTGTAACCACGTTCTTGTTTTTTCACATTTTTATGTGTACAAAGTTTTGAATATCATTACTGCCCTTATGAACTCATGCAATGGTATTCGTCTGTGATTCGAGACAATTGTTGTTTATTTTGCTTTCATTTGTTACGAGCTTCTAGTCACATAATCACAAGTCTGTCCTTTGATCTGTAGTGAATTCAAACAAAAATCTCCAATGGTAAACTTTATCATCGTTCGCAAAGGTATTACTGTTTTTTGGCGTTGTGAAGTATATTAGTGATGATAATTCAATAAAAAAACGTACAAATTATGAATTAGTCCCGGGCATAAAATCAGGTATTATGTTGAAAATCATTTTGGAAATTGGCTCATGTGTTTGTTTATATATTAATGTCAATAAAGTTAACCAGTGGAGAATATTTTATGTCCTTCCTAGTGTAGCTTTCTCAATAAGGCCGATCTCATGTTACTTTTTGTCGGTAAACTCCGGTATTTTCCGTCAACCTAAAATTCGAGAAATATTCATGAAACAACGTATCTAAAATATTGTAAACTACAAAAAAATAATCAATCCTGAGAAATACCGGAGCTTACTGAATGCATTCATTTATAATGCATCATAAGTAAGAAGAAAGGGGCGAAGTCTGATTTCATTGCATCTTTTTCCATCTTTAAAAAGTTGTCTTTTAAAATATGTTTTTTCCGTTATTGAAACTTTATTGGTGTAGCACAGTCAGACTTTTTCATAAAATCATTATAATATTTCCGGTAATTAAACATGTATGTTTCATTTATAAATACAATATGATAATGGACATGACTATACGTATAATCCCATGATACAACAATCAAAATGTCAGACTGCTTTTTCTAGACTTTATCGGTCACAATTTATTATTCATCATCACCTACTTAAATGACTTATAATCTGATTAAACAACATTTAACCATATGAAACAAACAGTGAAATGAAACCCATGTTGTATACTTAAGATTATTCTTACTACTTATACTTAATACATTATATTTACATTGAAAAAGACATATCCATATAGGAAATCATTAAATTGTACGAGCATTTTGGATTTTGTCTCATTTTTAACTTTTACGTGAAAGAGTTATTACATTCATATAAATAGATGTTTATGGAATAGGAATCAAGACTATTTATAGACAAAATAAGATGCAAAGTGGATGGGGTGGCTGGAGAAACTACGTTTGCATATCTTCTAGTGTTTTCAGCTTCTCTTCGCTGTACCCATCATATTCTATTGTTTCTTGTTGACGTCTTCATTAAGATTTTGGCCTAAAATGGTGGATTTCCATTCACCTCCCTCAAATAGTTTCTGTCAGATGGCAATAAATATTTTTACATAGTACGTTTTTTTCAAACCTAGCAAAATATTGGTAGATATTGTATATGTGATTAAACTTATCAATATAATATTTCGATACCAAAGAAAAGTTACACCTGAGCATTTTTACGCCTATTTGAGATATGGAAAATGAGTTTAACAGCTCAGATAGTTGATAAAAAGGTTAGTAAAGGTTAGCAATATTCTGTTTCTGCTTAGTATTTAAAAGGTTTTAAACTTTGATCACTTTCATGTTCTGTTGACCCAAACTGTGAAATAAATTGAAATGGAACAGTTAGATTGTACCCGTGTCCATCCGTCATATAGAATCCTATAAAAATGTTATGTTGTTTAAATGGAAATATTTAGAAGGTAGTTGAACTATTACTGAAGACAGTCGTTGATTTTTAATTTGTTAGAAAAACTGTAAAAATTGCCAAATGTGATATATAGACTGTGTTGGTATTGAGAGAGTGTTGTAGTTATGAAAGTGGAACCGGTTTCCAAAACTGGAATTTATTTCTAAGCACTTTTGAAACCTTGCTGCACAAATCAAAGAATCGATGGTTCTACATTGTACATAAGCGCAAGACGTAATAAAGCACCTGGTTCTGTTTTCGTTTTTATATGTATAGATATTTTGTCACGAGAACTATTTTCTGAGGATATATATATATTTGCTTTTTATCTATTTTCAAACCGGTTCCAGTTTCAAATAACAGTTGACTCACGGCTGCAGCACATTGGGTTGCATGCATATCGATTATCCAATGAAACCTCAGAAAGTTGTGAATTAACCATCATGCATCAATATTAGAACGCAGTTCATGCAAGAAAATGGGTCCAGTATGAAATAATTTAGTGTTATTTTTACACACTAGTCTATAACCTCTGTATTACAATCTTACTGATTATCATTCATATTTGAATATATCTTAAATACATTTTTCAGTAGTAATTAAGTAGATTTGGGTGAAACTTTACCACTGATATATCTGTTCATTGTGAAATAACATTCCTTCATTCGCAAATCACCATTGTGGTTTGCAGGTAAAAGTATTGTACATGCAAAATATAGTGTTCACTCAAGCAAATTTTAGAGTTTATTTGATTTAGATAAAACTGTATCATTATTTCCATTACGAATAAACTATGCACCGGGATTTATGAATTATTTCTTTTTATATCTCAAAAATTCACGTTCGCCTACACTGCACGATCCTTGAAGGCTCGTAGAATACAACAGTTACCTCAAAAAGGACAACGAAACAGGTTTGGTCAATTGTCTAATGCTTGTTCATGTGTGTCTTACGTTTTGCATTTGAGAGGCATTATACCATTCCGGATGTGGTGATGTTACCATTCTGATTGCCTAACGGCCTCCAAATGTACTTGCAGTGTATCTGTAAGTTTCAAAGCGCATCACAGACGTAATGATGTCTGATAGTATGATGTTGTAATCACTGCGCAACTCGAACTGTCGTGTTTGGAAATGTTCTTACAACATGAGGTAAAGATGAAACTTCAACGTCAGTGTTGGCGAAAAAAAGCGTTGAAATTTTGTGAATGGATCACAGAAAATCAGTCTAGCCCTACAGGTAACGCCCTCTCACAATGTGCATAAAAATAGTAAGGGTCTGTTGCCAGACTCGCTCAGCAGTATTCCTGCTTTGCGACGGCGGCCTGTAAACAAACCAGACAATCAAGCGATGGACCAGACCAAACCCAGTGACACGATGGCGCATTTACTGGTTTGCTGAAACTAAAACGAGGGCGGTCGGGTAGCCTAGAGGTTTAAGCGTTCGCTCATCACGCCGAAGATTCCCGACATGGGTACAATGTGTGAAGCCCATTTCTGGTGTCCTCCGCCGTGATATTGCTGGAATATTGCTAAAAGCGGCGTAAAACCATACTCACTCACTGAAACTAAAACGATATGTTAATTTTAAATTACGCCTGTTGAGTACAAGTGCAGAGATTCCGCTGCTTATAAGTAAAGTAAAACGTTTAAGAAATATGTTAAACCAACCTATAGCCGACCAAGAATTATAGACTTAAAGTCGAATTGTCACAGATTTTACGATGTTCTGCATATCGCTTATGTCAAACCGTTTAGGAATAGTGCAGGAACGTTTTCTGAAAATGACGTCTCTGCGTTGAAAGCTCTATGCCTGACGTCATAGGACTGTATATCGTCATCAATGGAATATCGCTGCACATTACAAATTGAGGGGCATGCGTATATGCGTTCACATTCCTGTCTTAGAACATAGTCTCTAAATACAGAATGTGGTCATCCTTAAAGTGAGACTAAGCTCAAGTCATTTTGCAGTCCCAGAAGATTTGACTCAAGGGTTTCAAAACCCGCTATCCACATCAATTTGGCAGTTGACGAATGCCCGCACGGAACAGTTGGACACGAGTCACTGATTGCAATGTTTGGATCTACGTTGGTAACTGGTCGTGGAACATAGTCCCCCTTTAAAATGCTAGTTGATCATTCCCTATCTTTGTTTCGTATAAAGAAACAAAATAACAAATACATTGCCCTGATTCTGTGACAAATAGAACAAGACTAAAGTCATTTATTCGAATTAGACATTACCCTCAACAAATTTATTCGATCAATGTAGGAATACCTTTTTTTATTTTTTATGATCTAAATTAGTTGCTGTAATGTTCAACAAATACGATCTATCAACCTTAATGAGAGGGATCTCAGGTGTCATCGCTATTTGGAATTTCTATTTGAACAAGAGAGTGAATACTGATCTCTAGGAACGCCCGATCTTAGTCCCGGTCAATAGATAGTTTGCGGTTATGTTAAGTCATGGTGTTATACTTAAAGAAAGTTCCAAATTTACCAAATATGACTAAACAGAAACATACTTGAGAGAGTTCTACGATTTCAACAACCTGTTACATCTATGTAATGCTTCTAGTAAGTGTTTCCATTGTCGTTTTATCGAGGAAAATGAAGCAACACGTTCCACCTGTCAAACGTACATACAAACAAATGTTACTGAAATCCACCGACTGTTCTGATGACGTCATCTATTTATGACGTCATGAATTAGTATTGCCGTACTGTTCTTAGAGGTGTAGTAGTATATGACATCAGTCGTTCGATGGCATTCGATCGTTCATCATCAAAATATCTAAAACCAAGAAACTGTGCTAAACATAAATCTAAATAATGCATTGTATGATTAGCACTAGGTCACAAATAGAAGATGATGACATATGATACATATATTCTGGGAACACTAGCTTCTATGAACATAACTTAATTAAGGCCATTACCCATTAAGGATGATTGAAGGCCTGTAGGGAAACGCGATCACTCACGTCTATATATACAGTATACATATATATATATATATATATATATATATATATATATATATATATATATATATATATACAAACGTACATGTACTTCATATCGAATTTCCTCAGGAATAGATCAAGAAAGTTAGTAACCCAGAAGAAAGCTCCGCCATCCGTTGCGCAGAGTTGCATCCCTTGAGCGCATCCGAAGCCTATGATCGCAATTCCGCGTTCCACATTCTACTTGATTATGTTTCTAAGTTTTGTAGCGGGTGACACGTGCTCATAAGTTCCACCAAAGTGGTAAACGCCCAAGGCCTTGTTCACCTCGGGCGTTACTCCCATATATAGTTGCCAGGTATCAACGAGCGTTCTGAAAACAATGTCACCCTCCAAATTTCTAAGTATGCCAATTTACCATAGATATTTAATTGTCTATTCATTAATATCAACCACACGCATCTAGCCGCTTTTTGAGGAAACAAACACAACCCTGATACATTAGATTACCACCAATCAAGAAGAGCGCATACACACATGTACATCCCTGAGAAATAAACAGACTAAGTGTATGTTCTTATGTCCTTCACTTGCGACTGTTCATCTACAGAAGACTCGTAGATCTTAAGAGTCGTGCTTGTATTCATTAGTGGGTTGAACATAAACTTCCAGGATACGCGAATCAATCATCCTTACATTCTGTGATACACATAGGTTTAATTTACATCAAAGTAGTAAACCAAGTCAACAATGTGACACTAGTGTTCTATTTTACTCAAGCGCCTCCATCAAGTGCAATTCAAATAATCTCAATAACTTTCATTTTCATTATTATGAATTTTCTACCTGTATGATAATTATGTCTTAAGATGACAATGGTTTTTTTAACAATTTTCAGTTGTGTTTTCATTATTATAGGAAACCTTTATGAGCACTGGCTTTGACTCCAAGATAGAAAGATAACCTTATGGCTATTTCTCATGCCACAAATCCTATCAAGTGCCAGATTTAGATGTACCGTGTATGCAAAGAGACATTTCTTTCGGAATACACATGAACAACACCATCAGCTTTGAAAGGGTTAATGGTTTAAGAATAATGGCCATTTCATCATGAAGGTCCAGCCTTCATCGATTGTCGCGGTAGCACTATGCTTGATAGGATTCGGCAACACAAATCATTGTACCGACTTAAAATGACTTGTGATTGGATATCGATCACTATGACAATAATGTAGTATTGAGTAATAACTCGGTCCGATATTGATATATATACACAAGGCCTGCGATCCATGGGATTTGTTAGGTTCGGTCGAGGAGAGGGCACGAGAGTATTGACGAGAGTATTGTGACGTCATTGAGGAGAAACTGCTTCTGAGACGTCAGAAGGACAACAATGTGTGGCGGAAAGCTTTGTCGACTTTCTCCAGTCTAATGTCTCAATGCACGAGATTGCCAAGAAACGTCAGGTATATTCATATAATCGCATTCCTTTGTTTACAGTCTATATTTATCGTCTGATGCCTTGTATAGAAAAAGTATCCGAATTTCTAACCTTTATACAGAATTATTTTAGTCAAGGAAATGATAATCGTACTGACAAAAAGCAAAAAGCATTTATTGACTTGAGAGCTGTTTAGTACTTTGAGACACTTATTGCTTATGCATTTGTCTTCATTGATAACTATATCAATCAAGACTGTAGTCAATAATCATATGTAGAACGATCGTTTAACCGACTTACCCATTTAATGCTGCCAATGTAATACATGTCAGATTATATACAATGTTTGATCTAGTTAGGTAAGTTGCAAATCCTCATTTAGCATGTGACCCACACTTAAAGTATTAATTGTACATTTGTATGACATAGCTATGAGCGCAGCAGATTCATTAATTTTACTTTTGTAAACAACTAGTTGTCTAACTGAACAGACGAAATTAGCAGGCACGAATATATATTTTCTCCCTTCTTCAACGACGAGGCTTGGAGAAAACAATACATTAGGTAGGAAGGCCATGTAGCAATGGGTCCCGAGCCTACTATGATCCGCTGATCACAAGTTTCAATGTGTGTGTTTCACTTAAACGGCAAAATGAAATGAAGTTCGTACTTTCCTCCCCCTTTAAAACTTCACACGCTTTAATAACACTTTATCAAGCAGAGTTAAACCCACTTACTCATAACTCAAACGTCTTCACTCACTCACTCACTCATTCGCTACGCACAGCACAGACATTTATAAACATGCAGCAACTTGTCCATTTAAGTTTATCTTCATCTTAAACAGAAGCGTCAGCAAACATCACATGTTCTTCAAACCAGCACCAAGTGGCATGGTTAGTGATGTGCCAGTATACAGGAATTGCTATGGTCAACGTATATATAATGAGCTCCTAATGAAAGGCAATTTAATAAATCATATTTTAAAACTTCCGCTAATGTAAACAAAGCAACCACGCAAACATTAACACCTAATAGAATGTCCATACTGCAGGATACCTTTCATGCTTTTCATGAAATATTCATCCAGGTCAGCTGCCGTAATCTGACTTCTAACGGACCCCGTGAAGCACGTCAGTGACGTAGAAGACACGACATTATAGGATGATTACGCTCAACACACGCTATGGGTGAACACATTTTAAAAAGCGACAAAACAATTTCCATCATCATAAGAAATATCTGCTAAAACCAAAGTCCATTTTACGATTCCGATTATGTTTTAGTGAGTGAGCGAGTTGAGTTTAACGCCGCTTTTAACAGTATTCCAGTTATATCACGGCGTGTCAGCTTAATGTGGGAGGAAAGCCCGAAGTGATGCAGGTCTCCG